CCAAAAACTCCAGAAGAAAAAAGGAGTATAAACATAAACGGGTAGAAGTAAACAAATCGGAGGTCGTTGTCAACAAGGTAGGTACGGTCACCCGCGCCTCTTCTTTATTTACTGTTTTCCTGGCCACTGCCTCCGAGTTCGGCTTGTTTGTCCCTTCCGTTTCCTTATTGTGCATGTGGTATGTGTTATGTTCATCTATCTTTATAAGCATATATATACATTATATATATGTGTGTATATATATATGTATATATATATATATATATATATATATATTGTAAGGTCATTTTCATTTAAGTTAGGTGATAGGTTTTTGGCTAAACTTTGCAGTGTGGTATTTGACTACAGAAGGCAAAAATGTATTGCCTCAGCTTCAGTCCCATATAAAGATGTATACACATAATTAGATTGATATATTCACATTATTTTGCCGACCGCAAGTAAACGACATTTTGAGCGGAAACAAACGGTTAAAAGTTCCTGTTTCGGGCTTCGCTTCCCCTTGGCTTTCAGCTCGCAGCCTTTCGGTTATTCCCGCCGCCGAAAGAGCGACATTTAGAGCATTGTGGGAAAAGTCCGGAAATAAATGAAACGCAACGGAATATTGGAGGAAGAGCCGTTTATTGCTTGGGGGGGGGGGAACACCTGTCTTTTTTTTTTTTTCTTTTTTTTTTTTGGATATTGGTCTTTGGTTTTTGTTTTGTTTTCCGGGATATTTATGTTTACTATGATTTATTTGTTTACGTTTTGTTGTCTTTTGTTTATTCATGGTATGATATCGCTTACAATTATTTTTGTTTAAAATGACGCTTTGGGCTTTGGTCTTTGTATGAGTTTATATAAGAGAAAATTCGAGTCGAAGATTTTTATTTTTTTTCAATCAATGTTTAGTAATTACCCCCTGTTTCTTTCTTTCCTTGAGGTTCTTATTATGATGCCTTTATCTTTCTTTTCCTCTTTACATTTCTTCAACCATCCTTCTCCCAGGTTATTACTTTCTCCCTCCCACTTCTTTTGTAGTTGGTTTACCGGTCTTTCTTTCCCTTCCCATTATTTCAGTTCCTCCTTTTCCGGTCGTGTTTGCTATTTTTTGTTTTCTTTTCTTTTTCCTTATTTTTTTATTCTGCCGTCTCTCTCTCTCTCTCTCTCTCTCTCTCTCTCTCTCTCTCTCTCTCTCTCTCTCTCTCTCTCTCTCTCTCTCTCTCTCTCTCTCTCTCTCTCTCTCTCTCTCTCTCCATCACATCCATTTTATCGCTTCTCCTTCCCTTCCCCCTTTTTACCCTCGTCTCCTCTTTCTCTTCTTTATTTCTCCACCCCCCCCTTCCTTCTTCTCTCCCCAAACCGACCTCTTTCCTTCTCACCAGTTCCCTCTCCTCCTCCTCCCGCCCCCTCTCACCCCCTCCTCTCCCACGTCCTCCCGTTACCATTTTAACCAATGAAGTAATCTTGTAATCTCATCCCACGTAATTTGGTTGACCCCCCCCCCCCGCCTCATCTCCCCTCGTCCCGCTCCCCTCCCCTCCTTACCTCTCCTTCTCCCCTCCCCATCCACTGCCTCTCCTTTTCCGCTCCCTGTCCTCTTCCTCCCCCGTTTTTTCCCCCACTTCTCCTTCTCACCTGCTTCTTCTGTCCTTCCCCTTCCCCTTCCCCTTCCCGCCTTTCCTTGCCCCTTTTGCATTTCGCGTCTGCTATTTCTTCCTCTCCTTCTTTCCCCACCTCCTACCTACCCTGGACACCCCCCTGGCCCTTGTGTCTCTCCGTCTCCCTCTCCCTCTCCTTCCCCTCTCCCCTCTCCCTCTCCCTCTCCTTCTCTCCCCTCTCCTTCTCCCCTTTGCCATGTTAATTTTCTCATCTCGTGTATCTTTCCAGAGTTCTAATCTTTTCGTTTACATAATTTTGTTTCTGCATTTATAGTGGCGTTGTAACTGATGTTGTCCTTGGCATTGTTTTAAGTCTATCGTCGTTATTGTCGTCGTCATGATTTTTAATGGTTTGTATTATTATCATTATTATTGGTTTACTATTGTTATTATTATTGTTTGTTGTTTTATTATTATTGTTGTTGTTGTTATTACTATTAATTATTTGTTTGTCGTTAACATTTTTTTAAACATTTTCATGTGTTTTATTCTTATTTACTGCGGCTTACTACTATTATTAAGATTATTACCTTCATTATCAATAATGCTATCGTTTGATTTGGTGTTTATACTCATAATGCATTATTTTTTTCCTCTTTTCTTTTTCTGATTTTATAGACATTTACATTCAGTGAAAATGGAGCAGCAGAGAAAGAAGAAGAAATGGAAAATATGGAATAATAAAACAAACAAGAGACAAGGAGAAGTTGAAAGATTACGGAACGAAAAGGAAGAGAAGAGAGGTCCGGGAGGAGGAATAAGAAAAATCCTGATAGAAGGAATAGGAGAGCGAGGGGAAAGAAATGAGAAAAGGGGAAGGATAAAAAATAAAATATACGAGAGAGAAAAAAAATCGAAAAAAGAGGAAAGAGAGGTTGATGGAATAGAAGAAAAAGGAAAAGAGGCGAAAGGGGAGAAAGAGAAGGCGGAGAAGAGAGAGGGAGAGAACGTGGAAAGGGAGAGGAAGACGAAGAAAGTAGAGCTCCCTCAGTGTTTACTTTGCCTGCATGAATGCCCGCTCACAAAGGCGGCTGATGAGGGCGTAGGAAGGAGTCCTTTGAGAGGTGTGTCGCTCCTCCCTCTCCTCTCCTTCCCCTTTCCTTCCTCCTCCTTTATCTCCCCTCTCCTTCCCTTTCCTTTCTCTTTTCTCTCCTTTCCTTTCTCCTTCTTTCTCTCCCTTTCCTTTCTTCTCCTTTCTCTTCCCTTCCTTTCCTCCTCCTTTCTCTCCCCTCTCCTTTTCCCTCTCCTTTCTCCCTCTCTCCTCTCCTTTCCCTCTCCTTTCTCGTCTTTTCTCTCCTCTCCTTACCCTTTCCTTCCCCTTTCCTTTCTCTTTTCTCTCCCCTCTTCTCCCTTTCATTTCCTCTCTCTCTCTGCTTCTCTCTCCTCTTTATTCAGCCTCCTTTCCCCTCTCCTCTCCTTCCTCTTCCTTCTCTTCTATCTCCATATCCTCCTCCTTCCCTTTCCCTACTCTCTCCTCACACCTTTATCCTCCTCTCTTTCCCTTCCCTTCGTCTTGCCTCTCCCTTCCTCCCTTCCCCCTCAGTCCATCTCCTGTCCACTCCCTCCTCGACCTTTCCAGCTTCTCCTCTCTCCCCTCACTCCTCTGTCCTTACTCCATCCTTCTCCTCCCCCCCACCTCCCCTCTCTTTCCCCTCTTCCTCCAGGGCGTCGGAAAGGCTTACACGACCCCCCCCCCCCCTCCCCCCACCAATAGGCATAGAACAATCCCCCCTTCAACCTCTTCTCCCTTTTTCCCGTCCCTCTCATCCCTATTCCTCCTCCCTCCCCCCCTCCTCCTCCTTTCTCTCTCTCCCCCCCTCCTCTTTCTCTTGTATTTCCCTCACCTAAGGCTTTTTTTTTAATACAGTGTTATGCAGCGACTTTCTTATCGGATGTCATTGCCGGGGTTATTTTAGTATGTTATGTTCTTCCTTTTTATTTATTCGTTTTATTTATTTATTTATTTATATTTATTAGTTAAACCTCTTGCAACTGATGCCATGTTTTTATTTTTTATTTATTTGTTTTATTTATTTATTCATGCATTAAACCTCTTGCAACTGATGCCATGTTCTCATTTTTTATTTATTCGTTTATTTGTTTTATTTATTTATTTATTCATTTATTTATTCATTAGCCAAACCTCTTGCAACTGATGCCATGTTCTTATTTTTATTTATTCGTTTATTTGTTCTATGTATTTATTTATTTATTAGTTGAATCTCTCGCAACTGCTTTTCTCTTCGTCGTTGTCACCGCCGCCGTCGTCATTATGATCGTGACGTCACGGCGATGAGGGTCATTGCGCGTGATTGCAGCCGTGATGAAGGGCAATTGATGAGTCTTTTTTACATCTTGCTATTTTTGTCACGTGATCTTTGGGATTTGGATGGATAGGGAAGTGGATGGATGGATGTTCTATGGAAGAGAGGATGGGTGGAAGGGGAGTGGAAGAGGGAGAGGGGCAGATAGTGTATCAGGCAGAGATAGACGCTGAGAGAGAGAGAGAGAGAGAGAGAGAGAGAGAGAGAGAGAGAGAGAGAGAGAGAGAAGAAGAGAGAGAGAGAGAATGGAGGGTGAGAGGAGTAATTATATAATGATATTTGATCCTTGACCTTTCCATATTCCTTTGCTCGCCAAGACCTGCCTATTAACCGTCACTTCCCCTCAAGTCCTGTCGCGTGACTTTAATGGCCTTGATTTCAATTTTAAGGTCTGCCTGTGACCTTGTTTTATCCCCCGTAGTGTCTCTTAACTTTTTTGTGGTGTAGTGACCCTTTCCCTGTGCCTTAGTGGTGACGAGATCGTGTAGTGACCTTCAGCGAATCTGCTGATCTAAGTTGCGTTAATGACCACCTTATTCCGGGTATCTTCTGACCTTTGGCTTGCACTTAACTGATCCTGAACACCCCCCCCCCCTCCCCCCCTCCCCTTATCCCCACTCCCAGGATCGCCGCTGCCATCTGACCTTCGCATTGTCTCTTCGGTGATGCGTCTCCCTTTGACCTTCTGTAGTTATTTTTACGATTTTTGCTCATCTGACCTTCGCTGAGGGTCACGGGCAGGTTACTCACGGTGGGGGAAGGTCATTTCCGCATTGTTTTGCACTTACTTGACCTGCAATCCAAGAAAGAAAAAAAGATAAGCTGGTTAATGATAATACCGCCATGCTTATCATGTTGTTATGTTAAACTTTCTTTTCCCTCTTTCAGACAGATAAAAGAATAATCTACTTTTAATTTTACTTCTACATCTAGCTAGTCTTTTCTCTCACGCTAGTAAATAGAATTAAGTATCCTTTTTTTTAGCGTCCTCGGAATAGCTCCCCCTGACCTTTTTTTTCTCTTTTCTCTCCTGCAGGACGTCGACCTTCATCACGCTGAGCCTGCTGTACGCGACCTTGCTCGTGGTCGTGTGTCTGGGCTTCGTGCTCTCCGAGGTCCTCACGCACAATGTCCCGCTCTACTACTACGAGGTGAGTGAGGGGAAGGAGGGTGGGTGAAAGGGAGGGCTGGGCGAGGGGAAAGGGAGGGGTGAAAGGAGGGCTGGAAGGAGAAGGGAGAGAAAAGCGTGGGTGGGAGGGAAGGAAGGGGAGAAAGGGAGAGGAAAGACGTGGGTGGGAGGGAAGGAAGAGGGGGAAAAGAGGGAGAAGGGAAAGGAAAGATGTGGGTATGGAGGGAAGGGAGGGAGAGGAAAGGCGTGGATGAGAAAGGGAGAAGAAAGGTGTGGGTGGGAAGGGGAGGAGGGGGGGAAAGGGAAGTAGAGGGAAAGGAAAGGAGTGGGTGGGAAGGGAAGGGAGGGAGAAGGAGAGCAAAGGCGTGGGTGGGAAGGGGAAAGAAGAGGGAGAAAGGGGAGCGGGAGGAGTGGGTGAGAGGAGGAGTGGGAAGGGGAGGGAGAAGGGAGAGAAAAGGCTTGGATTGGAAGGGGCTGGGAATGAAAAGGCAGGGGATGGAGACAGGGAGAGGAAAGAGGGAGAATGTGATGGGGGAGAGAGAAGAGAGAAGAAAGGTAGGGAATTATCAAAGCGGGAGGGATGGCGAGGAGAAAAAGAAGGGGAAGGGCGTGGAAGGAGAGGGGAATGAAAAGGAGTGAATAGTAGGGGGAGAGGAAAGGGGGATGTGATGGGGAGGGAGACGAGAGAAGAAAGGGGTGGGTAAGAGGGGAAGGGAGAGGACGGGGAATAGAAGAAGGGGAGAAGAAGGTGGGGGGTAGAAGGGAGGCGTGAGAGAGGGGAAGGGAGGGAAGAGTTGGATGAAAGGGGGAAGAAAGGGAGACTAAGAAAGAGGGTGGAGAAAGAACGAGTTGAACGGGATGGATGAGTTAGGAAAAGAAAGGAAGGGAGAACAGAAAGAGAGGAAAGAAGGGGTAAAGGGGAAGAGAAGGAAAAGAGAATAAGAGAAATAATTGGGAGGGAGAAGAAGAAAAAAGAGAAAGACAAGGAAAGAAAATGAAAAAATGGGTAGATAGAAAAACGTTAAGGAATCGAAGTTAATATACAAAAAGCAACCGGTTAAAAAATTCTTCAATAGAATGAAGTATACGAAACGAAGGAAGAAATGAGAAAGAGAGAAGTCAAGAGGACGCACGTGAGGGCAAATTGCAAGGCATGCACGCAGACACCGAATTAAACAGTCAGTCAGTCACACGCTCGATCGATTACGTGGTTTACTGAGCCTTTCCTTGCGGTGTTGGTCCGGCACTCGGCGGCGATACGGGCGGGGCCAAGCTAGCGGGTGTGGGCGGGCGGGGCGGGGGCGGGGGGATGGGTGGGGTGTGAGTGAGGGGGCTGTATGTATGCGTGTTTTTTCCGGGTGGTAAATGTATTCACACTATATGCGTGTGTGTGTGTGTGTGGGTGGGTGGGTCTTTGTGCTTCTTTTTTGTACGTACCCATCCGTATGTGCATTTGAATTCAAGGAGACGTCAACACAAACACGGTACAAAGAAGGAGCCCGACGAACAAACGAGATAGGGAGAGAGAAAGCAAAATAAAGCATTCGGACGCCGGCGAGGAAAGCGGGAGCGGCTCAAGCGAAGACTATTGTTATCAGAGGTAGCAACAACTCGCCTGTGCGCCGCTCTGTTGGCTGCCCCCTCCGCCGCCCCCTCCGCCCGACCCCACCCCTCCTTCTCCATCGCCGAAGAGGGGAGTGGAGTAGAAGTGCCCTCAGGAGGTCAGGCCAGGTGGGGAGAGACAGACAGACAGACACAGTGGGAAAGAACGAACGATAGAGGGAGACGGAGGGAAATAGAGGAAGCTAAATATCTTATAAGAAGTTTTATACGAGTTTATGTAATCAGTTTATTGTTTTATTTGCAAAGAACCTCTCTTGCGATAAGTAGTTAACATCAATTCCCTTTGGAGGCAGGATCCCCCAGCAAGACGCTGACTGTGACGAATAAAAACCAAAGGACACGGCCAGTTAACAAGAGCTAGGGCAGAGAGAGGGGCGTCCAAGCGTGATAAACCAGGAGACAGGACCAAACGACAAGATGACAATGCCGTCGAAACGAAATATCGAGCGAACGGGCGAATGAGAAAGGACGCGATTAAGACAAAGCGCCGATGCACCGCGGTTTTCAACGGAAGGGAAGCGGGGAATCGGAGGAGAACAAGCGGCCTCGGAAGACAAAGGAAAAAGCTACTTGTTGTTGTCATTGAGCCGCGAGTAGCCCGAGTGGACGGAGGCATTCGGGAGTCGCGTGTCTGCACTCGAACGCATATTGATTCGTGTGAAAATGTATGTGTCTGCATGAGGGGGGGAAGGGGAGGGGGGCGGAGGGGAAGGGAGGGGGATAGAAGGGGTGCGAGGTAGACGTGCGGGTATGTATTGCGCCTCGTGGTACTTCGGGCTGTTTGCGGTGGCGCTGGTGGGAGCGAAGATGGTTGGTTATAAAACTTGTATGAGTTGCGAGGAATACTCTTTCTCTTCATCTCTCTCTCTCTCTCCTCTCTCTCTCTCTCTCTCTCTCTCTCTCTCTCTCTCTCTCTCTCTCTCTCTCTCTCTCTCTCTCTCTCTCTCTCTCTCTCTCTCTCTCTCTCTCTCTCTCTCTCTCTCTCTCTCTCTCTCTCTCTCTCTCTCTCTCTCTCTCTCTCCTCTCCCTCTCCCTCTCTCTCCTTCCCTCTCCTCTCTCCCTCTCTCTCTCCCTCTTCCTCTCCTCTCCTCTCCCTCTCCCTCTCCCTCCCTTCCCCCCTCCCTACCTCTCTCTCCGTCTTCCATTTACCGTTCGCTCTATCATTTAACTCTTCCTCATTCTTTGAATCTCTCTCTCTTTTCCTCTGCCACACTCCCCCTCCCCACCCCCTTACCCTTAACCCTGTCTGTCTCTCGACTCTTAGCACAGTCTTAGCACATTTTCCCTTCCGCTTTGAAACTTTGCCAATTTGCGGCCCGGCTTCGATATCAAGAAGGATACCCTTGATTTCAGTTTTAGAAGATCGGGCTTATTGCTTGTTGAGTTGAGGAGTCGTCTTGGACAGGTTATTGGCCTCACAAGTTTATTTCATCGAGTTAATGTACGTCTCCAATATGCTTGTAGTGGGGCTGGATGTATTTGGAAGTGAAAAGGCAGTGATCGCTTCAAGAATCTGAGGCAGTGACATGAATCCATGAATTAGAGGAGGTAGGATGATGGTAGAAATTGCAGGAGTCGTGATGGTAATTTTAGAATAATTAGCGCTAGTTAATCACAATGATAATGATGATGATGATAGCAATGATAATGATAACGGTAAACATTGATGATAAGAGAAAAAAATGTGGCCAACCATCGTACCAGACCCTATGTATAGATAAGTAAAAAGTATAAATTATTTGAGCGTACAGACTTGGATGTACAGCGGTTTCCATCCCCATGTAGGGCGGGCGGCGGCGGCTTGGTATCGGTTCTGGGCGGCCTTTCCTTATCCCGCGCGACAACCAACGGGATTTATGTTGTCCCAGTTTCCGATGAAGGTTGGCTCTGGGGATGGAATGCCCGGGAATTTACGAGTTTGTTATCAAAGCGTATCTGTATTGGAATCGAATCCTTTTTCACGGGAGTTTGACTGTTCCCATTTGCATTCTATGATGGGAGTCATTTCGTCTTCATCGGGCGGTCCGGGAGTACACTGAAGGAGGAAATCCGTTTTTTTCACTCCAAATAATTTTTATGTTATAAATAAAAAAATAGTGTTTGTAATACTTTCGGTGGAATTTAACGTCGGTGTTTTTTTTATTATTATTATCCAGGTTCTTAAAGTGCGCGTTCGGTCCTTTTATTGTTTTTTGTTGTTTCGGCTTTTTTTATTTTCCCTCTGTCGTCCTTTTCGTCCTTTTTTCTAAATTCCCTCCTTCATCGACTTTTACTTTTTCTATCACTTTTTTCTATTTTTTCTTCATCACAGTCTTTACAATTCATTTTCTGCTCTTCTTTCTATCACATTGTTTTTATTTTTTTTTAACTTCTTCTCTTTCCGAATCGTCTTAATTTAAATATATTCTCATAGTAGATCCACGACGATGATAAAGGAGAGATAGGGGGTGGGAGGTGGGGGAAGGGGAGGGGAGGGGAGGAGGAGGAAGGGAAGGGTAAGAAAGAGAGGATCTGGAGGGGAGGAGACGGAGGGGGGGCGGTAAAAGGGAAGGGGAGATGGGAATGGAGAATAAAGGGAGAAAATGAATGAGATAGAGGGGACTAAAGGAATTAGAAGGGGTGAGGCGGGAAGGGGAAGAAGGAATGTGAGAGGGGGAAGAGAGGGAGGGAGAGCGGATGAGGAAGGGGGAGGGGGTGCGAAGGAGGGAGGAGGAGGGGGAGGTGTTAAAATGCGTTTGACTAAGAGGATCGGCGTGCATTGCGTCGATTCCGGCTTTGAATAATTGACCAGCGCGAGCAAGTGTGCGGCTTTTCCACTGCGGCGGCGGCGGCGGCGGCGGTGGCGGTCTCCCGCGGATTTGCGTTCGGTTTTCGGTTTCATGGTCGTTATGATTACTTCTTTATTTTTATACTTGTTGGTGTGCTAGTCGTATTTTGTTCTTTGTTGGTGTGCTTGTGTGTTTATTTGTGGCGGGTGTATTGGATTTGAGCGTTGTTCTCCTCTTTGTATTTTTTTGGTGTGTGTGTTGTGTGTGTGTGTGTGTGTGTGTGTTATTGATTTTTATTGCATAGGCCGGCTTCGTTATCCCTAGCTTCTCCAGTATTATTAACTAAGGGTTGCCATATGAATATGCATAGAGTGCGATAGATAAACATTTACTTTGCACTGAGGATGGGAGTCCCGCATGCGCGTTCACGATTCGATATAAAAACGTCTTGTGAGGGTTTTACGAGAATGAAATTAATATTCCGATTATTGGAAAATTTGGTCTAGCGTCGCATATTCACATTTGTCGATAAGGCAATTGAAGTTCCGGGATTATGTGTTCGAGAGAATAATGTTCAGTCCCGTGTTTTGGTTCTCGGGTTCGAAGCCGAGTCAGGTTAGGCGACTTGGCAGGCGATTTGAGGAATTTCGTTTTCCTAATTGCGTCTTCTGTTATTTGTTTATTTATTTTTATCTTTGTTTGATCGTTTTAGCTTTTCTTGCTATTTTCTGGTGCTTCAATTGTTTATTTTTGTTCTTATTTTCATCGAACATTATGTTCTTTCTTTTTGTGTATTGTTTATCTTTATTTTTGTTAATATTATTCTGCTTATGCATTTTCTTTTATTACTTCTTTCTGTTCTTCCGTTCTTTCTTCCTTTCTTCATTATGTCCTCAGTTTTTTTTTCTTTTTTCTTTTTCTTGTGATTTTGCTTCTTTCCATTTACCACTTTTTTCTTCTTGTTTCCTTCTACGTTTTCTTCTTCCCAATGGGTATTTTTGTCAGTTTGAAAACACATGTTGCACCGAGCGTTACCGAAAGGCCTTACATGTTGGAGACTTGTTGCAGCTCAGGAGTGTCCGAAACCCCTCCTTTGCAGAACGCCCTTTCCTTGCCGTTTTCTGTGGTTGCGGACACGTTTCCCTTTAGGCTAATGATCCCGTAGAGACACTACTTGTAAAGGAATTTTTAAAATTTGTTTTCTATCTTTATTTTTTTTATTTATTTTATTTTTTTTTGAGGGGGGGCGCAGCGTGATTACGTTCATTTACAATCCTGATAATAAAATTTTATAGTTGGCGAGAGTGTGTTTATATTGCTTCCTAGATCTCCCATTACAGGAGAGGATTTGAATCAAGTGGTACAATATTCGATATCTTCACACGTCGTGCACGTTGTGTTCAAAACAAATTCAAATGATTTTATATCTATCAGAATATTGACGTTTTCATTGATAGGTGTGCAAGTAAACGCATGCTAGTGATTGGGTGAGTAAGAGAGAGTAAATTATTGAGAGACAGACACAGAGGAATAATATTTGAAGCGAGTGAACAGATATCCACCGTCAGCGAGTGAAAATATGCCAATCTCTTTCACTTTTTGTGCCGGTCCGTGTTTTATATACAATTATGGACATGTAATCGTACCTGTGATAATTGGACTGCAATATATTGTGGTTAAGGGCCAAAATGCCATTCAACCGATAGATAAAAGCGTTTTTACGGTTAGTAAAGTGCACCAGCGTCAGGTATCTCTCCCAGCTGACCCGGACTGGACGAGCCGGGCTTCGGATCCCTGACACTGATGCGGTAAAGCAAAAATGATCAGATTAATTCGCAGACTCCCAAGATGAGCCGACAGCACGGGTCGTTTGCGTCGTCTGCTGCCCTTCGTTATTTTTGTTTTGTTTTATTTTACTGCGTCTGCTGTGTGCATAGTTTAGTCTGGTTCGTCACATTTCCCGGAAAAGAGAATATTCCGTTGAATAAGTACGTAGGCTACGAGTTATTTTGAATTTTATTTTTTCACTCATCATCGAGTTAAATTCTGGATTAGTTTTTTTTTTTTGCTGTTGTTGTTCGTTTATGCTTCGGAAGTGTGTGGAAAATGAACGTATGAATAAGATAACAAGATAGAGTCACCGAGTGTGCAGGAACATTGCAATCATATTCACATTTCCACAGTATGCCAGGCATGTAATACGCGACCATAGTCTAGGTACCGAGGTAATCCTCTGCGAGATAAGACTTCCGCTGTGCATAGTAGATCACTGACACTATCGCCCATAACGAGGCGTGCTGTGATCACTGCAACGCGCCATTCTACACTTCCTCCCGGAGTGAAAGCAAGCACGGCCCCTTGCATAGGTTATGGCAGTGGATGGAGTGCTTGGAGACCGTCTGGCCGTCACAAAGCGCGCCCAATTGCGGCCATCAGATACGTGGACTCGTACCAAGTGAAGGAGGCGGGCGCACACAGGGGCCGCGCGACGCTTGCCCTCGCAAATCTCGCTGGACTGAACTGTTTGGATTTAGTGGGAGTGGACGCAGACTGCCACAAGCAAGGGAAGGGAGGAGGATTATTGCGTCAAAGTCTAGATTGCCTCGTTTGAAGTGGCTGTAAGGGGATTAGCGGCGAAATTGCCAGGCAAGGTTTTACACGACGCGCGTTTCGTCTGCACCTGGATTCGTCTCTGCTGCCGTTTCACAGTTTTGGGAAGTGGCAGTTGGTATGTGGGCGGTTTGTTATGATTAGCGTGTGGTACTTACCGCGCGTGGTTATTTTGAATTAAGAAAGGACTAATGAAGAAGGGGATTTAAGTATGACGTGTCTTTTTTCCGTGTTTTCAAATTCGTGTCTTTTGCATTTCATCCTTTGGGCAGAGGACGTGGTTTTAGCAAATAAAATGTATTTTGCTGAATACGTTATAACTCTATTCAGGTTGCAAGCATTTTTTTCTTACATGTATTGGATTTTGATATATTCTACCTGATGAATATTCTACCTGCTTAATGAA